CCCCAAAACCCCAAAACCCCAAAACCCCAAAACCCCAAAACCCCAAAACCCCGAACAAGAGAATTGTATTGAACTATTGAAAAATACATGAATGTGTTGATTCACTGAAGATAATGGGTCTTAAATAGCGGCAACTGCCACAGAGACACCTCTACAGTGAATTGGGTGAAGAGTACATAGTGAACAGCCTTCAAAACTTAGAAGGCCTACTCTTCGAAGACAATTAATTTACTCTTGGAGCAAGTCTTCGATTGAGTATTGATCGTTCACTCCCCAGTAGCTATTATCATAATAGCCACTGTTTTCAGAGACATCTTCCTTCTCATTTTCAGAGTCGTCATCACTACTATCGTTGTAGTCGCCACCAATAGGCTTATCCTCGTCGCTGTCATCATCGAGGTCAGCTCTTGAGTTTAGCCCAGAGAAAAGGTTATCTTCGTCGTCGTCTTTCTCTATGGTGTCACCGAGATAATCATTTTCGTGTTCTTCTCTAGCTTTATCTGCATCATATTCTTGTAAGGTCTGTCTAACAGAGGTTCTGTTGGAGGAGAATTCTTCATGCTTTTCGTCATCATCATCGAGGTCATCTCTCTTCAAAGCATTCTTGAATTCGTCGTCATCATCGATCTCATCAAAGTCATCTGAGTCCTTTCTGGTAGATCCTCTGTTGGCTAGATTAATTGCATTGAGTTCATTGTACACTTTAACATCATTGGTAACGAAGTCAATCCATGATTGCTATAAAGGTTATTTAAAGTACACTCACCTTGTCAAGTTTCTGCTGCAATGGAGAAGCTTTGACCTCCTCAACGGGAGTCTGCTCTTCTGGTTTGTCGTTTTCGACTTCGGCAGTAGTGCTCTGATCGCTCTGAGCGGATAAGTCTCTGAGGATGTTTGCAAACCTTGTGGTAAAAGCGAGATATCCATGACGGAATTCACGCTGTGAAGGGAATACAAACGCTTTGTTTTCACTCCAGAACTCTGGAAGCTTTTCAAAGATTCCAAGTTTCTCGAGGAAAGCAACCTTTTTATCGGTTGTTGTGTTTGAATCCTTCAAAATACGGTTGAAAATATTATCCAAGTGTAAATGAAGGAATGTGTTGTTTTTGAATTGTAAGAATAAATCGAACAATTTCTTGTAAAAATCTGTCTCCAAAATTCTCTCTCTAAGAGATTGCTCATCAAGTTCTACCAAGGATTCAAGAAGGTTGATACAAGCAAGTCTCTTCTTACCCAAAATGGGCTGATTTTCTCCGTATTGGAAATCAATATGCTTGGTCTCTGGCTCTTTGTCAAGTTCGTTGACCAAATGGTTGATAACCTGGCTCTTAAAGAATTCAACCAAAGGATGGTTGGTGAGTTGCTCTTCAACTGACTGGGATTGTTCCTGGTCCTTAGAATCATTGTCTTCAAGAACAACCTCATCATTGTCATCCATAAATGTGTGTGGAGTAGTCTGGATATTGTTGGAAGCTGAGATTTCATTTCTTAAGTGAGAAATAAGTACATTCAAAATCCTAACAGAAGCATTAGCATTGCACTCTGGAGTTTGAGGGTTCAAAAGGATTTCTTTGAGAGTGTTAGTGAATTCTTGCTCAATCAAGAGAGGATAGTATGCTTTCTTGAATGTGAGCTCATTGAAGATCTGGAAGATATTCAAGGAGTATTCGAAGCACTCAGTGTTTTCATGATCTCCAAGTCTACCAAGAAGTCTGCGGATGAATTCTTTTCTGACTCTAGTGATTTCTTGTTCTTCTAATTCGATTTTAGTACTAGGAATATCAAGAATCTTAATGATAGTATCAGTGATACTTTTAGAATAGCTATGATAAGCAAATCTATAGAGAAGTTCCTCATTCTTGAAGTAGTAGGTAGCTATATCATCACTCTTTTTTTGGATCAATACAGCCAATAACCTAGCAAAGTACCCTGAAAGTACATCATTCAAGACATCCTCTGTATCAATAAAATTGTTGAGATAATCAAGAAGATCATATTTGTTAGTGCTCAAGGGTTCAGCAGGAACAGTCTCGCTCTGGGCCTCGGATACGTGGGTTGAGGCATCATCAGTCTTCTCTTCTTCCTCAGTTTCACTCTTTGGAGCTTCTGCAGAAGCTTCAGTGGAACCCTCTACTTTCTCTGGTGTTTCTTCAGCTTTCTTTTCATCATCCTTTTCAACGGTTGTTGGTGGACTAGCTGCTTCTTGAGAATCCTTAGGGGCAGATTCTTCCTTATCAGCTTCTTTTCCCTCTTCCTTTGTATCTTCAGGCTGAATGGCTGCTTCAGTAGATGGAGAGCTGCTCTCATTCTCAGAATCCTTCTTTTCCTCTTCCTTTGGAGTCTCTTCAGCAGATTCTTCTTTTTGGTCTTTATCTTCAATAGGAGTATCAGTCTTTTCTTCAGAGTGTGTTTCTTCTGGAGATTCATCGTCTTTAGTAGTGGTATCTTTCTTGTCGTGGTCCTCTTCTTCGCCTTCATTTGTGAAGTCTCCTTCTTCAGAGTCACTTCCAGAGTCATCGTGATCTTTCTCGTATCCTTGGTCGGACTTGTTACCGTCTTCTGCTTCTGCCTGTTCGTCGGGTTCTTCTTCAGGGACATCATCTGCAGGGGAGATGAAGAACTTGTCAAGTATCTGTTGCATATCACAGTTGAAAACTTCGTTAGCTACGAATGGGTACTTGTGTCCTCTGTTGTGCTCGTCTGTCTCGGGCATGACAGTGATGAGATCGATCAACTGTTTAACTTTTTCCCGGTCAAGATATTTAATAAGATTCTTGTTTCCATTTTTGCATTCTTGGAGCAAATCACCATCGTCTAAGAGTTCCTCGAGTTTACATTCGGGTTGCTTGAGTAGGTTCTCGATTGATTCACTTGGTTGTTGCTTGAATGAGCTCCAGAAGTTGCTTCCAAATAGCTGTCCAAAACTTAGCATGTTGAATTTTTATTTTAATAATAATATTCAAACTGGGCATAATTTATAGGGGTTTTGGGGTTTTGGGGTTTTGGGGTTTTGGGGTTTTGGGGTTTTGGGG